CGGCAGCAGCAGCAGGAAGGCCAGCAGCATCAGCGGGAAGAGGAAAGAAGGGGAAGCAGCAGCAGGAGAGGAGGAGAGAAGGAATCGTCAAAATTGGCCCGCCCGTTCGTCGCGCACCCCATAGCGCACTGGACATGCTTCTCGGGGGAAACTCGCCGGCCCAACGGGCCAGAGGCGCGCGAAAATCTCCGGCGACTGCCTCGCAGCAGTTCTACTTCGCGCTCGCGGGGCGGCCCAGAAAGGCCACCGGACGCAAAGTGCCCCGGCCAGGTCGGGCCAGAGATGGTTTTTCTCCTGGGCGCGGCTTTCAGGCGCCCCGAAACGATCCAAAAGGGCCCCAAAAGGCGCCCGAGACGGTCCAAAAGGGCTCCGAGTCGTCGAAAGATCGGTCCGCGACACTCACGATGGCTTCCAGACGGCCCAAGACAAGCACAACACCCCCGAAGAGGCCACCGCGAGCTGAAACGATACCCGAAAACGCGATTCTGAACTTCAAAGAAAAATGGTAGCAGAGAGACGAGGCGGAAACAGACCGGGGGCGACACCGCTCGAATGACGCGTCGAAGCGAGATTGCGCGCAAGCCGCACACCGAATGCCCAATATCGGAGCGGGTCGGCGACGCAACAACTTCTGAACAAAGAACAACCGGAAAAATTGGAGATCAGTTTGTTCTGCTCCTGGAAAACACATAATCGCTGCACCAATCCGCTTGGGGGGCGCAGCTTCATGAGATGAAGAGCTTCGGCACATTTCAGGTGAGGCAGATCGGCACAACGACTACGTCATTTCTGACCACAGGACCATCACCTCGTCTGGATGTTCGGTGACGCCAGCGGGGGCAAGGACACGGCACATCCTCGGCTTGGCAGAGTGGGACTGGCAATGATCAAGATTGCACAATTCTCACATGTTGAAGCTGCTGGCACTGCTTCTGGTGGCCTCCGTGGAGACAAGCAAATGTGCTTAGAGGCGAGTTGCACGCAGTACTGACCAGCGTTCGCGGATCCACTGGAGTAGAAGTGTGTCACAAACAACGCAATGGTAGCAGATGGATTGACCAACAGGCAGTTTCTCACGCCGTCAGGGGAACATGCAGACCTATGCCATGCCATCGGACAGGCCTTCCAGAGCAGAGATGACACAAAATTCACGGCCATGTTTGTCAATTCGCATTTGTCTGGAGCCGACCTCGTTGCGGGCAAGGCGAAGTGGCAGCTGGCGATGGGCAACGAAGTACGTAGCTGATGTCTTGGTGGGTGCAGCTGCGGCCAAGGTTCAGAATCAGCGACGACGTCAAGTCCCGGGTCATCAGTATCGAGAGAGATGCGCACAGCATGCGCATGAGTCTACTTCGTGCCACCCTGGACACGATGGGCGCGGAGGCCGAGCAGGAGGAGAGATCGGGGAGTCCGAGGGAAGCGGAGCCTGTCCCTCCTACGCCCCCCCCCTCCTGCTGCGGTCAGGCTATTCGCAGCTAACCACCCTTTTTATGAATCAGGCAGTCGATGCACCCAGTGTTTCAGGTCTGCGCCCTTGCGACGCAGAGTGCACGGACGTCGGGAGCGGCCAAGAGGGGGGTGCCCAAGAGGGGGGGGGCGCACATCATTGCCGGCGGCATGTGCGCGGCCCAAAGGGGGGTGGTGTGGTGCTGGTTGTGGTTTCTGTGATCGAAAATTCTCTGGTAGCAATGTAATCAAGAACCTGGGCCACGAGTGCCATGGGGCTACGAATGCGTATCGAAGCGATGGCCCAAGACTCTCGGCAAGGCCGAGAAGTTCCCTCGCAAGCGCTCGTGGTTCCAGTTCCCCGAGTCGCATCGCGACTTGCCTCACTCACTCACTCACTCACTCACTCACTCACTCATTCACTCCTCCTCCTTCTCCTCATCCTCCTGATCCTCCTCCTCTCGTCGCAAGGAGGCTGTTTGGACAGTGTTCGGCCTCCCCGGGGGCCCTCACCAGGCTCCGGGACCGTTAGAGAACAACTCGGGGTGAAACCCCATTCGGGGGAAGTGGTCCAGATCTCAGGGGGTCCACGATGCCAAGAAATCATGACGTCAGAGTTCTGGGCCTGGATCACTTCGCCACCGGTTAGGTGGGTCCCATGGACCCATGGTGGGAGGAGCGAGGAGGAGCGAGAAGGAGCGAGGAGGAGCGAGGAGGGGGGGGAAGGATCCTTGAGCCCTCGATTCCTGGATTTCTGTAGCTCTCGAACCCTCGAGGCCTCGAGTCCTCGAATCCTCGAGCCCTCGAGCCCTCGATCGTAGATGCCTCGAGCCTCCGAACCCTCGACCCCTCGAATCCTCGACCCCTGGAACCCTCGAATCCTCTATCCTCTCGTCCCCCAGATCTCGAGCCCTCGAAACCTCGATCAGTGAGCACCCAGTCTCGGAAGCTGGGCGAGGGCAGGCAAATCCGTGGCTGCTAAAACGGTCTTCCGGGAAGACAAAAACACACTCCCGGAGAATAAAGCTCAGCGCACTAAATAGCAAACGGGCTGCTTCCCGGAAGGGAAAAAAAACGGAGCTCCGTTTTAGCAGCCGCGGGTTTGCCAGCCGTCGCCCGGCTTCTGTCGGGGGCGGGCAAACACGGATTAGCGATCCATGGATTTGGTGCGCGGTCGCCAAATCCATGGATCGGGGGAGAGGTGCCCTCCCCAAAGAATGCGGCCAGTGCCGCCTCGCTCCGCGGCGGAAATCCACGCCCCCTTGATCCATGATTGCGATTGCCTGAGGATGAAGGGGCCCTGGGACACACAGATAAAGAGACACAAATAACAGGATCCCCGATGTGTTCCCACATCTTTGGGACCTTCGTCTTCCCCCCCACTTCCCATAGTTTTGCACATGTTCCGGATCATCGACGATGAATTGTGTCTGTGTGTTGTTCCCCTCCTGGGAGAAGTCATGCTCGACTTTCAGCCTCCGCCCTCCCCAGAGTGGAGCGGGCGCGCGCCGGCTGCGGGCGCCCAGAGGGCTCCTGGCGCGGCGCCGCGAGGCCCAGCGGCCAGCGTGCGGGCGGCGCGCGGGGCCCGTCGCTCATCCGCGCCGCCGTTATCCCTGTCTGAAGGGGCCCCAGGACACACACAAAGAAGTGCACACAAATCAAAAGATGCCCCATAGTTCCCCATATATATATATGTATATGTATATGTGTATATATGTATACATGTATGTATATATAAATATATATGTATATATATATACATATATATATATATATATATATATATATATATATGGGTCCTTGTCTCCCCCCCTTGTCTCCCCCCCCCCACTTCCCATATTTTCCCAGATACTCCTGGGAGTCGACGAGTCCTTGTGTCTGTGTGTGTCTTTCCCTCCCGAATGTTTGCGATCGCCTGATTCTGCCAGTCTCGAGGTCGGACCGGAGCGGGGCGCGCCTCGGAGCGGGGGCTTCGCAGCGGCGGCGGGGGGAGCCGAAGGATCGAGGGAAGGATCGGCAGGCTGCAGCGGCGGCACCAAAACTGCGCCCCGGCATCGCCCGACCAGCTTTACTCAAGGGGCCCAGGGACACACAAATAAAGAAACACAAATAACAGGATTCCCCATATTTTCCCATATTGTCTAGGTTGTTGTCTTCCCCCCTACTTCCCATATGTTCCCCTATTTTTCTGGGAGTCGACGATCAATTGTGTCTGTGTGTTTCTTTCCCTCCTGATTTATACCCCTGCGGTGGCAGGTGGGGGTATAATTCATGGGCCCGTTTTCCACCAACACCATCAGAAGTTCGAGGGGGAGGAGGTCCTCCTCCTCCTCCTCCTCCTCCTCCTCCTCCTCCTCCTCCTCGTCCTCGTCCTCGTCCTCCTCCACCTCCTCCTCCTCCTCCTTCTCCTCCTCCTCCTCCTCCTCCTCGTCCCCCACCTTCTTCCCCCTCCAACTTATGGTGGTGGTGGTGGAAAACAGGCCCATCAATATTTTGTCCAGCCGCGATTAGAGGAAGGACAAACCACATAGAAACATGTAAACTTTTGGCGCTCCACGAGGATCTCTTGGGTTCGCGCCGGCGCGCCAGGGGCGGCGACGGAGGCGCCGCCGGGGGGAGGCCAAGCGCGGATCCAAGAACTCCGCGCGGAGCGTCAAAAAGTTGCTGCGCTTATTTGATGTTGTTCTTATTCGAGCCACGGGACGGGCGCCCCCAACCGCGGAAAAGGCTGTGGCGCTCCATTAGGGCCACATGCGAACCCTACCCCTACCCCCCACGATCTCTGAGGGGGAGGGTGGGGTTCACTTCGTTCGCCACCGTCCCCCTCAGAAGTCGTGGGGGGTAGGGGTAGGAATAGGGGAACAAGAAGTGGCATCAGCAAAAAAACTCTGAGGTCCGCGCGGATTTCTCGGATCGGCGCTGGACCCCCCTTCCTAGCGCGCGGAGCGCGCCAGGGGCGGCGCCGGAGGCGCCGCCGGGGAGCCCCAGCGCCGATGCGAAAAATCCGCGCGCCTCCGAGTTGTTATGTTAGTGCCACTTGTTGCTCCCCTAAGGAACCGCATATTTTCGGGGTGTTCGTCTTCCCCCCCACTTCCCATATTTTCCTATATTTTCCTGGGGATCGACGATGAATTGTGTCTGTGTATTTTTCCCTCCTGATATCCGTCCTTCGCCCGAGGGGGGTGAGGATCGTTTCCGTGCCGCCGTGGCCTCGCCCGTCTGCCGAGGTGTATAGTCTGGGAGAAAGCGCGGACGCGCGTGCGCCCGCGCACGGCGGCCAAGGAGAGGCACAGCCAGCCCGCAGAGCAAGGAGGCGCGATGAGGATGCCAGGGCCTCGGGCGCCCACTTCGAAGCCTCCCGAGCGGGGCGCGGCCAGCGAGAGCGTCCAAGGGTGGACCCAGGAGGCAAGGATGCAGGGGTACCCTCGGGAGGGATGCCTGTCCTTACTCTGCGGGCCGACTGTACTCTCGGGGGGAGACGAGAGGGGGGCATAGCACAGGCTAGGGCAGAGACCCAGCTCGCTGATTTTCCCGGCGCCTCCCGGCGCCGGGAGGCGCCCATGTATCGACGAATGGGCCCGGCGGCGGGGCCGAAACCAGCTGCATGCAGAAGATGTTGTAAGTCCCCCTTTCCGTATCCCCCCTTTTCGTTCGGCACGATACTCCAAAGCACTGGACACGCGAGCACACGTCACGAGCCCCGCCCGTACAAAATGCTGTAGTACCAGGTGGGAAGCAAGAGCAGCCATGCAACGATCATGCGCACGAAACCCCATATGAAGGCGGGCTTGTCCGAGACTATAGCCGCGCTCCTTGCATAGAAGTTGCCACCGGAGATGACACCCTGTATCTGCACACAGGCAATCCACAAGACGTTCGCGTACCAGCTCTGAAAGGATAGTGCGCCCGCCAACGCACCAGTCGCTGACAGAAAAGCGTGGCCAAGCACGAACCCCAGAATCTTGGAATAGTATGACAAATATGTGTTCTTCTTGTTGAGCAGGCGGCGCTCGTCAGTCAGATTGGCCTCCTCGACGAAAAGGTCCATAAGGGTCTGGTAGCCGGCAATCGGACAAGGCAGAAACGGCTGGACAAGCAGGAATGCGAGGTATGGTATCACCCAGGGGACGTAGAAGCCGATCATGCCGTCCCAAACTAACTCGCCAAGACTCGGCATAGGATCAACATCAAACACATGCCACTTCCAACGACGGGCGTAACTGAGCCACATGGGGGTACCATGTAAGAACCAGCTTTCAAACGCCTCGGGGTGGTGTAAGGCCACAGGCAGCTGGAGCATGAAGGTGGCGCCTGGAATAGGCCCGGACAGGATAATGTACAGAGCCCGGAACCAGGATTGCGAGCAAGTTAGCTCGAAGTGGCACAGTACGAGCGTGATGATTAAAGCTATCGTGCCCATAAAACACAAATCGATGAAGTAGAGAATCCACTTCCGGCGAAGGTAATACCCCACACGGTACAATAGCAAGCCTGTCGATAATAAACAATATGCCGGCCCTATGGAGGCCTCACGGCTGTGAACAGCCCTGCTGGACTGCTGCGTTGTACCATTTAGAATGCAAATTGATCTCCATCCCGTGCCTCTCTGAACTTGCATCCGCTCTACAATGGTGGCCAGTCCACAAGAAACCCAACCCAGACACCCCAGGGCGTCCTCTGATTGTTTGGTGTGGGAACGTCACGCCTTCCATCGCAGAACCATCGAAGCCCAAGAAACCCAGGGCACCCTGGAGGCAAGCAGGGTGTTTCTTGGCATGGGCCCCCACTCCATCCCCTGTCTCTCTGGACCTGCATCCGCTCTTTTGCACCCCAAGGAAGAGGGAGGAGGAGGAGGAGGAGGAGAAGGATGAGGGGGAGGGGGAGGGGGAGGAGGAGGAGGAGGAGGAGGGAGGAGGAGGAGGAGGAGGATGAGGATGGGGACCAGTGGAAGCCCAAGAGTCATCAACGATGATAAAATTGACCTTCCCTCGAAGCCCCTTCTTCATAAGCCCCATACAACGTTTCAGTTGCATGGAGGGAACTACCTCGTTGGAAGACAACCGTTTGACAATCCTGAAGCGTGCCAAAACATTGTTCTCGGGATTCCAACGCCACGTATCAACCTGACTGCTGCGTCTTGACGATCCAGAATCGTGCCAGAACGCCATTGTGGGGGACTTCAGCACAGCGAATCAACATAACTGTTGCGCCCGCATAATCCTGAACTTCTCTAAAACACCATTCCTGGTACGTTGGTCATGGGAATCCGTGCAGCCCCTGCCAATTCATAAAACGAACGTGCTCTGCGCACGCGCGAGACCCACATTTTGAAAACCACCCGCCCTCAACCCGTGAAGCTCTTACAACTGTTCAACGAATGTGCGCGGCGCTAAGGCGAGAGCCACAATTTGAAAACGGCCCGCCCTCAATCCGTGAAACCATTGCATCTTTAAATGAAAAATGCGCGCGGTGCTAAGGCGAGAGATACATGTTGAAAACGGCCCGCCCTCAATCCGTGAAGCTCTTCCAAAAGTTTACAGCGAATGTGCGCGGCGCTATGGCGAGAGCCACATGTTGAAAACGGCCCGCCCTCAACCCGTGAAGCTTGTGCAAATGTTTAAAGCGACCGTGCGCTGCGCTCACGCGAGAGCCACAGTTTAAAAACCACCCGCCCTCAACCAGCGAAACTCCTGCACTTTGTTTAACGAATGCGCGCTGCGCTAAGGCGAGAGCCACAGTTTGAAAACGACCCGCCCTCAATATGTGAAACTGTTGTCACTGTTTAAGCTTCAGATTCGTAAATGGTGAGGGAGTCTCACTCGAGACGCCCGGCCCGCCATAAAAACTGGTCTCGGGGTCGACAGGGAGCAGTTGTTGTTTATAAGGGGAACGAATGGAGGACGACGAATTGGGAGGAGGAGGAAGAGGAGGAGGAGGAGGAGGAGGACGAGGAGGTAGAGGAGGAGGAGGAGGAGGAGGAGGAGGAGAGGGATTGATGAGGAGGAGGAGGACGAGGAGGAGGAGGAGGAGGAGGAGGAGGAGGGGAGGGGGACGAGGAAGGGAGGGAGGGAGGGAGGGAGGAGGAGGAGGAGGAGAAGGAAGAGGAGGAGGAGGAAGAAGCAGGGGGAGGGAGGAAGGGAGGGAGGGGACGGAGGGAGGGAGGGACGGACGGAGGGAGGAGGATGAGGGACGGAGGGAGGGACGAGGAGGGAGGATGGAGGGAGGATGGAGGGACGGACGGAAGGGAGGAGGAGGGAGGAGGGAGGGAGGGAGGGAGGGGAGGGAGGGACGGACGGACGACGACGAGGAGGAGGAAGGGGACAAGGAGGAGGAGGAGGACGACGACGACGACGAGAAGGAGGGAGGGAGGAGGACGGGGAGGAGGGAGGAGGAGGTGGAGGAGGAGGAGGAGAAGGAGGAGGAGGGCCGAGGATGAGAAAGAGGAGGAGAAGGATGAGGAGGAGAAGGAGGAGGAGGAGGAAAAAGGGGAGGAGAAGGAGGCGGAGGAGGAGGAGAAGGACGAGGACGAGGAGGAGGAGGAGGACGAGGAGGAGGAGGAGGACGAGGAGGAGGAGGAGGAGGAGGGAGGAGGACGGGGAGGAAGAGGAGGAGGAGGAGGAAGAGGAGGAAGAGGAGGTAGGATTTTTTATACCGTGGGCATCGACCGCGGTGCCAAGGGCAGTGCTGAACTGCCGTGGACTGCCCAGGTGGTGCAGCTTCAAGGAGCAAAACAACCAGGAAGCATGCACCAAGAGCCTGCAGATCCCGATGGGGAGGCCTGCAGACAGAGTCCTGGGCGAAAGCGACAGAGAGCGCGGCGAAACACTCTGACCCTGCGTCCCTAGCCACAAGTAGGCTGAGGCGCAACTGAGGGGGACGAAACCCTCAAAGGACGCTCGCTTGGCATAAAAAGCCACCCAAGACGGCGTTGCGCCCATGGAGGCTACCCCCTCCACTCTGAGGGGGGGGATGGGAAAGAGCACCGGTCGGGGCAACTGGCTTCCCAGATGCCCCCGTGCCCAATGCTCCCCCCGGCTTCTCCTGCGCAGCGGTCGCCAAGGGCCCGCGAGGACCACCTGGCCGTGCACCAGGGAAACACAATCCCAAAGGGGAAGTGGGGGGAGAGGGGCAACGGCGGCGGGAGGAACCTCAAGGCTCGGGTTCCATGACAGGCTGCGTAACCTGCACCCCCCGCCGACCGAGCCCACAACTCCCACCGAGAAAGAAGGAAGAAAAGGGGAGGAGGGCAACAAAGCCGGGAGGAACCCCAAAGCTCGGGTACCACGGCAGGCTGCATAACCTGCACCTCCCCTAGAAAGCCCAATCCCCAGACAACCCCAGCGCAGAGCCAGGGAAGCAAGAACCAGAACCTGTGGCATAGCATCGGTCAGGGCGGACGACCTCCATCGCCGTGCAAAGCCACAGTGAAAGCCCATCCACACATGCAGCGCACCTTCCGCCACAAGTTGGGGTGCCTGATACACATGCAAACAGCGCTCGCACGTTCGCACAAAGAAGGACTGCCTGGACGACGCCAGGACGATACACAACGCTAACCCCTGGTGAAAAGAAGGCCAGGACGGTGAGCCATCTTACCCAACTGAGCCTGGGAAAAGCAAAGCAAACACAAGAACCCGAGGCATAGCATCGGTCAGGGTGGAGACCCACCCCCGTGCAAGGCCACGGGATAAATCCAACCACACGTGCGGCACACCTTCCCCCACAACTGGGGTGCCTGATACGCGTGCAGGCTGCGCGCGCACATACGCACTCATAACAAATAACATAGGCGACGCCAGGACGACTTGGCAATGCCTACCCCTGGTGTAAATAACGCCAGGACGATAGGCAAGCCTCATCCGTGGTGTGGGCCTGTCACTCAGAATAGATATACGCCAGCACACAAGAATAAATATACGCCAGCACACAAGAGGAGGTAGGAGAGAGAGGAGGAGAAGGAGGAGGAGGAGGAGGGAGGAGGAAGAAGAGGAGGAGGAGGAGGAAGAGGGAGGAGGAGGAGGAGGAAGAGGAGGACGAGGAGGGAAGGGGGACGGCGCAGGCAGCGACAAAAAAACGAGGGGGAGTGCGGACTCTGGCCGCTCCTGGCTGCCCCCCAAGGACGGCTGCCTTTTCTGGTGCCATAAAGGAGGGCACCAAGAGAGAACCCCCCAGTGATAACCCCAAAAAGGCCTCGGAGAGAGGAAAAAAAACAAGACGCCCGAAGATGGCCGCCCTCGTTCTCCTCCTCTTCGTCCTCCTCCACTTCCTTCTCCTCTTCCTCCTAGTCCTCCTCCTCCTCCTCCTCATCCTCCTCCTCTTCCTCCTCATCCTCCCCCGCCTCCTCCCCCTCGTCCTCCTCCTCCTCCTCCTCCTCCTGCTCATCCTCCTCCTCGTGTTCCTCCTTCTCCTCCTCCTCCTCCTCCTCTTCCTCCTCCTCCTCCTCCTTCTCCTCCTCCCTGTCCATCCCTCGTCTCCTCCTCCTCCTCCTCCTCCTCCTCCTCCTCCTCCTCCTCCTCCTCCCCCTCCTCCCTCCTCCTCCTCCTCCCTCCTCCTCCCCCGTCCTCAACCTCCTCCTCCGTCTCCTCCTCCTCATCATCATCAGAATCGTCAGCATCAGCGTCATCATCATGAGCATCAGCATCATCATCATCATCATCATCATCAGCAGCATCATCATCATCATCATCAGCAGCATCATCATCATCATCATCAGCATCATCATCATCATCAGCATCATCATCAGAATCGGCATCATCATCAGTTGCACCATCATCATCATCAGCATCATCATCATCATCAGCATCATCATCATCATCATCAGCAGCATCATCATCATCATCATCATCAGAATCAGCATCATCGGCATCACAGTCACCATCAGCATCAGCATCAGCAATATCATCAGCATCATCATCGTCATCATCATCATCAGCATCGCCAGCATGATCATCATCAGCGTCATGAGTATCATCAACATCATCATCATCGTCATCATCATCATCAACATCAGCATCATCATCATCATCATCATCATCAGCATCATCATCATCATCACCATCATCATCATCATCATCATCATCATCATCATCATCATCATCATCAGCGTCATCATCGTCAGTGTCCTCCTCCTCCGCCTCCTCCTCGTCCTTCTCCTCCTCATCCTCCCCCCTCCTCCTCCTCCTCATCCTCCTTTTGCGTTGACCAAACCTGAATCCAACGAGTGCGGCGTTCTTGAATTCAAAAACAGCGTGCAATTATGGTCAGAAACGTACTTGGCGGGTGTCGCGGAAAATGGCATGTTTAAGGACACAAGGCCGAGAATGGCATGAAGAGTGGGCGCCCGCCAGGTCCTCGAGGTAGGCATGAACCTTAGAAACCATGTACCCAGATAGATAAGAGTACCTCCCTTGTTTTAAAGGTAGTGCCCCCTCGGATGGCAAAACACAATGCAAACAAATGCCGTGAACGACGCCGTGATTGTGGCAGCTCTAGGGTTGCTGTCCAGGGTTTCGGCTGACCCCAAAAGGCAGGTAAATCCGCCCCAACTTCCCGCACTCCAGAGAGACCCTCCCGTCTATTGTTAAGTGTATGTGCCATCTGGTGGCACAGTAGAACAAGCTGCAGTTGGAGAAAATGAGCAGAGTATGATGCACGTGGCTGCTGGGGCTCAGCAGGCAAATAGTGCCAGATGCTGAGCAGAACCTGAAGATATGAAACTGATGGGCCACCAACGTGTGAGGCAGCGCCGCAGAGCAAAGAAAATGGCGTAAGTCGCATCAGTGGAGTGGACCGAGTGGCGCGAGGGTCAACTGTTTGCTGTGAGGTCAGGCAGGAAAGTCGGGCATGTGCGGCTGGTAGTTGCGGCTGGGTAATATAGTAGGCAGCTGGTGCTAGGTCTCAGTACATGCGGGCAGAATGCTCTCTTCCGCCACCACCATCAGTACCCCCCCCTCCACACACACACACACAACAGTACCCGTCCCCGACACCCAATGCAAGTTGTTCAAGGCTGGCCTGGAAGGCTTGCCTTTACTGGATGAGGGTGGCTGCGTAGAGTAGCAGGATGATGCAGGCTTGTTTGACCAAAAGCAGTTCTTAGGACGTTACCATTGCTTCGAACTCGTAGGAAAAAATGATAGATGCGCCACTGTAGCCATGTACTTTGCAAAGCTCCCTCGTTGCCAGCAGTATGCCCGCTCGTCTAGTCAGCTGTCGACCCGCTCTTCGGTTCTTGGGCGAGGGCCGGCGCCACCGCATTTATGTCAGGAGCGTGGGGGTCGGAAGGGGGTAACACGGTGAGTAGGGGGAATCACTGAGGCGCACTGTGCAATGACAGAGATACAGAAGCCCGAATTGTGGGCTGGGGTTCCTGGTTGGCCCCAAGCGGTGTGGTATCCTCCGTATTTCGAGGCTGGCCTGATAATCTTGCCGATAAGCTGGGGCGAGAGCAGCTGCTCGGAATAGGCTTGAAGATACAGGCTTGCCAGTCCGATTCCTCCACCACTTCCTCCTATCTCCCCCCCCCTTCCACCGCCACTCTCAAACCATCAACAACTAAAAAGGAAGGGGGGCACGTATATTGCCCAGGCTGGTCTGTCGGATGAGGCTGGCCGCATGCGTAAACGTAGTAGGCAGGTAGAGAAGTTAGAGCAACGCTGGGTGCGAACTGCGAGGTGAGGGATGGGTGCAGAAAGCAGTCGGGTCAGACCCTGCGGGGATCTAAGTGTGCACAATGCGTGCTCTCGCCATCGCTCGGACGTCCATTCCCTGTTTTTTTCGGTTTCGTGTGTGGCTTTTTCGCAAGATGATCAAGGATGCTCCTCGATGGTCCTCGCCGAGGAAAAAACGCACACGTCCGAGCGATGCCAAGTGCTGCAATGGGAATGTAAGGTTCACCCCCAACCTACAGAAAATAGGCTTGCAATCTTGGGGCTGCGACCCAGGGTCTTGTAGGATAACCCCCCGAACCTGCGTAGAGATGGAGGCGGTAGAGAGGGAGGCGCCACCACCATCGTACAGTCGGGGAGCTGACCTAAGGAACCCTAAATAAGGAACGAGGCCCCTTTTCTCCAGAAGTTGAACTTCGATTTCCCTTCGAAAACCTAAAGAAAACGTGGGGCAAACTGTGAAACAATTAAGGAACACGGAGCCCCTAGCCAACGAAAAGAGTTCCTTCTTCAGCGCCCCGACTGTATGGGGGCCGCGCGAAAAGGAGGGCGTGGGGAACACCTGAGATGTGCGAGAGAAGCCAATGTAAAAGATGGCGCTGCGTCGCCAAAGTGCAGTGGCTGTCTGCGGGTCTAATGGACGCGGAGACTGCTGGCGATATGTGGACCGAGAGGCCATGCAAGTAGGCTCTGAGATGCGGAAAAGCGGCGCCTTGCCGCCAAAGTACAGTTAATGCCGCAGGATATCCACACACACCTACCCCCATCATGCTGCAACCAAGTCCCCCCTCAAACGCCACACGATCCTTAGGCAAGGTGGCAGACAGCAGTAAGGGGTCAGACCCTGCGGGGACACGAATGTGCACGAGGTGTACTGCGACGTGGGCTTTTGAGGTTGACCCCAAACAATGCGACGGGAGAGGGAGAGAGAAAACAAAAAAGGGCGCAATATTTGGGCTGCGGCCCAGGGCTTTTTGCCGGATGACCCTGAACCGTCGCGGAGAGAGAGATGCCACCAGCGTGACGTGGCCGCGCCAAAGGACTACGCAGAGCAAACCAGAGCCACCAGCGTGTCAGGGCCGCGCGAAGGGAGGGTGCACCGCTAATCAGTCGAGGGAGCCCTGTTAAAAGACATTACAGCGAACGTGTGTGCACCTGCTTCCGTGTGAGGTTCAGGGGTAGCCCTTCTGCTGCAACTGACTGGGAAGGAGCACTGGCCGTGAATGTCGCGGTATCCTCTGAGGTGGTTGAGGCCAAGAGTGCTGGATGTGGGTGTTGTGACAGCCGCCATCGCATAGAATGTAGACTGACCCCTGTCTGTAAGCGTCGGCTTGGGCTTGGGCGCGGTCTTGTTAAGCGTTACCGACTGTTTGGGCGGAGGCTTCCTGAATGGTGCTCCAAGCGTGTAGTCGCCTAGGCTGTTGATGTAACTCTCGTAGCGGACCTGGTGTGTAGGAAGCCTGGCGATGTAGTTCTGGAATATGGGGTCGCCGATGCTGCTGATGAAGATGATGCATCGGTTGAAGATGTGGATATGCGGATCTCCTCGTGTTGCTGCTTCGCTATGTGTGGCGATTGCTTGTGCCGCAACAGTCGGGAAGTATGTGTGTGCAGCGTTGCGAGTGTCTGCGGGGCCAGATGCCGCATGGGCAACTCTTGAATTCCACTGGTGCGCTCTGATGTCTTCGCCTGGTGGGCAAATGATTGGTAGTTGTCGTACGGGTGGCGGTGGGTGTGCTGACATGACTTGTTGGAATGGTGACCATTTGATCATAGTGGTGGCGTTGGCTGTGGTCGTGGTTGGCTTCATTGGTGTAGCGCTGCTGTTGGGTGAAGTCCGTTGTTGTTGCGTTGGCTGGTTGACCCGGTCTATCAGGTGCGCTGGTGGTGACTTGCATGGTCGCTGGTTAGAAATGTGCGTGATGATAGTTGTGATCGTGTTGTTCAGTGCGAGGTTGGGCATAGATTTACTTGCGATGGTGCTTTGCTGCTGCTGCTGAGTGCGGGTCTGCTTTGCGATTTATTTGGTAACGTGTGGTGGAGTTTGTTCGCGTAGTGCGATGTCGGCGTGTGCTGGTGGCGGTGGTGTTGTAGGTTTGGTCAAGGCTGTGTCGGTTGATTGGTTTTTGTACGTCGGGCTGTCGTGTGTGTTGTTCCACGAGGGTGGTAGTGTAGGTGCTCTTGGTTTGGGCGCAATGGTCTGCAGTGTTGGTGGCGGTGGTTTGGGCGGTGGTGGCTGTGTGCGTTGTGGGGCGTCAGTATTGGCGTCTGCCTCGCTGGAGTTGTCGATGTCGTTGTGCGCGGTCGTGATGCTGCGTCTGATCGCAGTTGGGTTGCAGGTTCGCTGTAGTAGTATGGCTGTATCGCGGACAGACCGCCCAGTCGTAGTCCTTGTCGTGACATGCGTTAAACTATTGGGCAATTTCTTGTATGGCCGCAAGAATGTTGGCGTTGAGTGGTGGTGCATGTCCTCCTGTGAGTAGCTCATGAAGATACTGGTAGGTCGTGACGACTAGATGTCGTGGGGCCAGGTTGTCGCGGTAGTGTGTTGCTAATGCCTGTGGCGTTGCCGTAGCGTGTGAATGTGGGGTACGTGGGTGGTTTGAGCATCGGTTGATGCGTGTCGGCTTGAATGGCGTTTGAGCTTGAATTGTTTGATATTTGTCGTTGGTAGGAGGACGAAGGTACATAGTGGTGTAGCTCTGGAATCTGGTCGTAGTGGTGGGTGCGGTAGGCACTACTTCCCATCTTGGTGTCCTCCTCCTCCTCCTGATCTTCCTCCTCCTCCTCGTTATCTTCATCCTCATCCTCCTCCTTGTCATCCTCGTCCTCCTCCTCCTCCTCTTCCTCCTCCTCCTCCTCCAGCTCCTTCTCCTCCTCCTCCTCCTCCTCCACCTCCTCCTCCTCCTCCTCCTCTTCCTCCTTATCCACATGATCCTCCTCGTCCTCCTCGTCCTCCTCGTCCTCCTCGTCCTCCTCCTCCTCCTCCTCCTCCTCCTCCTCCTGCTCCTCCTCCCCGTCCTGGTTCCTGGCTCTTGGTCCAAGATGTCTCTCAGATGGCCCGGATGGCCCCAGGACGCCCCCGAGAGAGCTGAACATATTGACGCACCAGTCTGCGTTCCTGTGCGTTCTGACTGCCGCAGACTTGCGCCTGGGATGCCGGAAGGTCGCTCAAAGACGGCCCCCAGATCCTCCGAGATTGCTCCGGGCGGCCACTGGGGTTGGGCCCAAAGGTGACTCGGAGATGGCTCCAGGAGGCCCCCAAGAGAGGCGCCTGCAGATCCCGGGAGGCCCCAATATGGCGCAGGAAGGACCCCCAAGCTGTCCCGATACAGCCTCAAGCTGGCTCAGCCTGGATAGCCAGAGGCTGAAGGCGCAGCCCATCGGATACGCAAAGGACACATAGACCTCGTTCACATCGCTATACAGGCAGACGACCGCCAAGCCTACGTAAACGAGCCCAAAGACGAGAAATGACAATCGGAATTGGAACCACTTCGCGCTGATATCCAGTGCATAAGTGGACATCCTTCTTGTCAATGGCTTGCCATCGTGCAAATCTGTCCTCTCTGCCGCGTCTTCCGGTCCTGATGCTGTCTGCGTCGCCGACCCTGATTCCGAGTCTGATGCTTCTGATCCCGATTCCGATTCAACCAACGTCACTGTTCCAGGTGCTGTCTGACTCATATACTATACTAGGTCCCGTGGCTTTGGCCTAAGCCAATATAACTGGAACCATAACGGCCACTTGTGATGATGACGGTGAAGGTGTCTGAGGTGGTGACGTCGGTGATGCTGGTGCCGATGCTGAAAACGAGCATGAAGGTACCTATCAGCACGACGATGCTGCGCACTACGATGCGAATGGGAACGCGGACGAGAGACGGGACACCGTCAGGAACTACTCCGAGCGTGCCGTGGCGGCGGCCCCTGAGACACGCTACGCCTTGCAAGCTGGTAGCGTGTCCCTCTGCTTCGTGGGACGGGAGCGCTGGCGATGTTTACATCCTCATCCACTGCGTCTTCGAGTTTCGGGATGTTCCCCAGGAACGTGAGGCGCACTCGAGATAGGTTAAACTACTGCTTCAAGGGCAATACTTTTATCCATATCCAGTGCGCCTCGGCCTTGCGGCGCCCCTTCCAAGAAAGTCCAAGACGCACTGGATATGGATATAACTATTTTCCGCAGGGAGGCTGGCAGAAGCCCGAAACCCGATGCTTGAGGACTGGGACGTGGTCAGCGCGGGCCAGAAACAGCGGCGCAACACGCCGAGCAAACGTTCCCGACCGCACAAGGAGGGAAGACGAGGGCACCTGTCGGGTCGGACAAAAATCGGCGACTAACACAAGTACGATTACTGACTGCTACACTACTACTACAACAACAACAACAACAACATCAACAACAACAACAACTACTACTACTACTACTACGACTACTACTACTACTACTACTACGACTACTACTACTGCTACTACTACTACTACTACTGCTGCTACTACGACTACGACTACGACTACGACTACTACTACTACTACTACTCCTACTACTACTACTACTACTACTACTACTACTACTACGACTACGACTACGACGACGACGACGACGACGACGACGACGACGACGACGACTACTACTACTACTACGACTACGACTACCACGACGACGACGACGACAACGACGACGACGACGACGACAACTACTGCTACTACGACATCGACGACTGCTACTGCTGCGACTGCTGCTACTACTACTACTACGACTACTACTACTACTACTACTACTACTACTCCTACTACTACTACTACTACTACTACTACTACTACTACTACTACTACTACTACTACTACTACTACTACTACTACTACTACTACTACTACTACTACTACTACTACTACTACTACGACTACTACTACTACTACTACTACTACTACTACCACTACTACTACTACTACTACTACTACTACTACTACTACTACTACTCTT